AATAAGTTAATTAAGAGGCGCAATTTCCCGTTTGCACGTTGCAGCGGAACCGATCGCAACGGGTGGAATAAATCGCGCGTCTCGGCTCGACTCGACCACGCTCGGAGACGATGATTTTTCACGCACATGCAACACGCGCAGCGACGCGCTGCCTCGTCGTACCAGGAACGCGTATCAGGAAAAGTGGCGCTCACTCGAAGAAAAATACAAGCGTACCCATCCCACCGATTTTCCTTCGCTTCGTTCCGAGTATTGAATTTTAATTAGCGCTCCTCCGATCGATGGCTATTGTGTATCGCGCGGAGCGCGCTGAAATATGTATCGGCTGATGTATTCTGGGACGTGGCATGCGTTGTTTTCCTTTCTCTTTCTTTATTTCTTGTTTCTCTTTTTCTTTTCTGTCGGGAACTTTGCCCGTCGCGTCGGCGGCCGGACTTCTGAAGTCATCGGTGCGCGATCGGCGCGCGACGCGTATTCTTCTTAATAATTTATCTCACTTATCGGTCCGCATTATTCATCGCGGAGATAAAGAGCTCACGGCCGAGGTGAGTTGCACGCGTCGCGGATCATCTCGCACGTTTTCCTCTTTCGTTCGGCTTCGGATAAAAAGAGCAAGATGGGAAAGAAGACGGACGAAGTGGTAGAAGAGAACAAGTCGGTGCATCTGCTGAACTGGCTGCGCCACTCGATATTTATGCGTCCGGGATAATCTCGAATAAGAGCATCTAAGCGAGCGGAGAATTCTACGCCTAGAGCGACGAATACGTACGAATGTACGAAGTACGGAGGGTCACTTTGAGACGGGCTTTAATTTGCGGACGTTCTGTGTAAACACATGCTTCCTGCGTGTCTCTCGGATAATGCATTTTCCAGAGCACTCGAATCTATTTCGAGAAATTAACGCTAATGGAGGAGTCTGACGCTGTTATCTTGTTGTCCGGAGCAATTAGCTCCGGAATGTTTCCTTTCGATTTTTTCATTTACAGATTGTCGTTAGAATTAAATTTGGTAAATGTCAAATTGATTCGCGTTTAATGGGGATATCATGGCCGTCATTCGTAACGAATTTATAACTTTTCCTACATGTCACTGAGAAAGTTTACAAATACTCAGATATTCGTGATGAAATCATAATTAATCGGTACGGGCTTAAGAAAGAGAATTACATACGGAGCAAGCCGCTTTCCGAGGCTAAATTTACGAATTTTTTTAACAGAAATGGTAGGATCGATGGACTTGAAATTTTCACAGTGTATTCATTAATGTTCAAAGTAGAAAACAAATTTGTTACTATCTATATGAAACGTACACGTAAAACTTTAAACGCGTTTATCTGGAAACACCATTTTCTTAAACTGTCGACACGATAACGCAAAAACTACTGAACCGAATAACTTGAAGTTTTTACACAATATACAGTAGACATGTGGTTTTCGCCTCTGCCTCGAACACAGTTATATTTTATTTTATTTATTTTTCTAAACATGATTACAAGTTGAAAAAGTTTCATTTTCGATATATTTCTTTTTTTGTCACAATCATTATTTTTCCAAACTTGGCTTTACTGCTTTCATTTTGGTACGGACTATATAATGCCAACTGTATATTTTATAAATCTTTCTCAGTTTCTGGTTTCAGAGTAGTGAGAGGCGGAATTATATCGACAGCAAACATAGAGCTCGCAAACAGATGATTGCGTTTTTATTTATAATTACAAATTGGATCGGTTCTTGTGATTCAACAAAATTTATGTTACACTTTGAACATTAATGAATATATTGTAAAAATTTCAAGTCTGTTGGTCTTACCGTTTCTGTTAAAAAAATTCGTAAACATAGCCTTGGAAAAGGCCTTCCACATGTAATTCCCTCCTTAACCTCCCTTTAACGCCCGACTTTTTTACAAGTGTTTTAAGAATAAAATTTGAGTTTTTTGAACTGAGACTACAAGTAGTGATAACCGAAAAAAATATAGAATTTTATATCTACGAAAAACTACCCTTCCAAGCAGAAACTACTCCCAGAAGCGAAAAATACGCCTGATCGGTTAAATTTTTTTTTTTTAGTTTTAATAATATCTTATAGATCATCATTTAGATAGTCAATCGTCCCTTCATTTTTCACCGCCACCATAAAAAACTGTAGGTCACCAGGTTTCACGAAATAGCTTGATTTCTTGATTTTCGTGTCCACCATATTGGATTCGCCATTTTGAATTTCTGTATTCTTTTAATTTCACATTTTGTATCTGAGAAAGCTTCCAGATGTATAAAATTGTAACAGGTACCAATCTATTCATTTATAGCGCACTTCTAGATGCCTACTTGGAATTTGACAAAACATGTTATCATTAAAACTGAGCTAAAAACAGACTAAACCGAATCTACATACAATCTATGTAGCATTTTTTAGAAGAAAAATTCACCTTTACAATGCAGGTGCAAAGAAAATGAAAATATCCCCCTCCTCCTTTTTCGACTAAATTATGGATTCTTAAAAATGCGTTTCCGGTAACTATAGTTACTATAGTAGGCGTTAAAGGGTTAAATGATATCCACGAGCCACAGTGAAACAACACGTGGCTGTTATTGTCCCAATTGACAGAATTTGGCAGTGCAAAGTGCTGCGTGCTGGCTCTTTGATCTACTTGCTATCCGCGAAGTAGCATTACTCGTACTTTGAGCGTCATTACGCTTGCGCTTCTCGCGATTGCAATCTTCGCGGAGGAGCATGAATCGCACGCGTGCGCGCGCGCGCGCGCGCAAAAATAGATGATCCGGGTGGACACTGACCTTGCTATTGCGTAATGGCGCGATCCGATTCGTTGAGGTATGCCTGAAATATTATTATAGCCGACCGAATTACGCCGCGCACATTGTAGTGCACGAGCTCGAGCATCGCGCGCGACCGAGACGTCGGCTTTCGTGCGTAGGTAAGATTTTCTCTCCTTTTATTTTCCTTTTTTTTCTCTCGATTCGAGGCATGTCGTTGCAACAGCGGCGATTAAAAAGCGAGAAGCTCGCACGGTCTCACACCGCGCGCTGGCAGCGGACCGATATCGGGCGGCGTGCGATAAGGAAGAAAAGTTGATGAATAATGCCTCGTTCTCCGCCTATCGGCGAGGTTCACCACGTGTTCTCTAATTGGTTATTCGCCTTTTTACAGTCATCCCGCGTTCACGCACGCGGGGAGGTGAGATGCGAGCGATAGGTATTTTAATCGAATTATTTCCACGACTGATGTATCCTCCTCCTCCTCCTCCTCCTCCTCCTCCTTCTCGCCGACGTTCAGCGACGAGCGAGCGAGCGCGTGATCGCGCAATTCGATCGATTGATTTTCTCCACGTTCCACCTGTCCACGTTTTTTCGGCCGTTATCTCCGCGAAGCGACGCGAGCAAGAGAAGGAAAAGCAAAAAGGAAGCGCGATGCTTTCGAGGCAGCACGCTTCGCTTGCGCGAATAATGGCGCAGCGGTCGACTCGACGGCGTGATTCGCGGTGGATTCACTGCGATCTTCACGGCCGCGGCGGCGGGTGAACTCTAGTAGAAAGTCCCGCGAAAGTCCGATCCGACTCGAGATCCGTATCGACGATCGACTGGCTTTCGACATTCGCGTACGCCGCCTAAAAATACACGCTGAGGTCACTGTTTACACGCTGCATACACGGCCGCGTAGCGGCGACGACGACTACCACGAGCGGATTTCCAGCAGCCGTCGAGAGCGGCGGCTGCTGCTCGCCGCTCCGCCGAGAGAGAATTCCGTCGTATATGCGACAATCGCAACGGCGCTATCTCCGCGATCGGAATTTGCATTCCAGTCGGCGGTTTCCAGGTCACGTTGGCGTGCGCCCGAAGGATGGCATCGGAAATGAGGATGACTCAAGTATATACTTTCAGCGAAACGTGCGATTGAAATCCATTTTCGGAGCGCTCCTCCGCCGGCGCGCGGAGGTGCGCTGCGAACTTCTGCCCGTGATTAGAGGGACCTCTCAAAGTGGCGCGATTAATATTCACCGGAGGCGTCAAGTCGGTCCAGGGTATACCTGCGGATTCATTCCGAGCCGCGTGACTCGTTATCGTTCGTTTGTATAATGACGCGACCGTCGCGTCGCGTCGGTTCGACAATCGTTTCGGTCTTTTAGACACGATGAGAATAGGAATAGGATAACCTTCACGAGCGAACGGCGGCGTGTCAACCAGGACGGATCAGGAGTTTTCCTCCCGACCTTCGTAGATCACCTGCTGAGATGTTGTGGTCGCTCCGCGATTTGACTTCGCGCGCGCGCGCGCGCGCTGTGACGCTGTGTCGCGCGTGTCTGAATACTCGCGGAATTCTGGGCATTTTCTTGCGAAACTGTTACCCGACGCTGGCTGCTTCTCTTGGCAAGTGAGACAAGCGCCGGCGAGAAAATGCGGATCGCGAAAGCGGCCTTGGGATCTCTCGGAAATCGTGCGTATTTTACTCCGTTGATCGGCGCATGCGTCTCTCGAGAATATTTAAAACAGATACGTCTAGGGACGCGTCAAAATCGATTCGACCTGTTCGAGAAGCTCCGAAACGCTCAATCAAGGATAAAATACGAGAGAGAGAGAGAGAGAGAGAGAGAGGGAAACGTGAATTTTGCTCAGCTCGAAATCAGAAGGGGATACGCTTCCCGTCATCGCGTTGAGCCTTATAAACACGACGAACGGTTTGACGGGCTGGCAATTACAGCTGCAGGTATCACGACGCCATGCTGAGCGTAAAGAAGAAAAACCTTATTCATGTCGATAAGATAACCCGGCACTGAACGACCAACGTCACATCCGTACTCGCGGGAAGCCCGCTGGAGAATCGCCGAGGTCGAGCGACTGTGTGTGTGTGTGTGTGTGTGTGTGTGTGAGGTGGCGCGGGAGCCATTTTGGAGCGAGGAGACCGATCGACCAGTTCGACCATCGATCTCGCCTTGCCGATCGCGCTTGTTCGTCGCGATGGCACTCGGAGTGCGCTGCGCTCACTCACCTGCTGCCTGCGGAGCTGCGTCGATGACGTTTCAGCGACGTACGACGTACACCCGCAACGCGCACTACTTCACGGCGGACAGTGCCTGGGGGATCGGCTTCCGTGTACCGACCTCGTTATTCCAACAGTGAAATTTCCGAACTAAGGCTGCTCGGCTGACGAGCCAGCAGCTCTTCCTGTGAGGCGCAATGGGCGCCGAGCGTGGGGCCCCAGGGTCGGCCGCGCCGATTGGTCGACCGGTCCCCGACTCGCGGTGGAAGGTTCGCAGGTAAAAATTCTGCTGACACAGGTGAGCACAGGCACGCCACCTGGCAGAAGCTCGTCCGTCGTGGCTCGGAAGAGCGTTGGAGAACGCTTCGAGGTTGCCGATCGACTGCGTGGGTGTCGACGCGTCGGAGCGAGTGGCTGCGCTCGGCCAGAAGGAAGTGCGTCGATGAGGCACGACGGGACTACCGAGCGAGATCACGCGGAGAATCTGCTCTCGATGACGCCGCCTGTCGACGTCACGGTCTCGCGACTGGCGGATTTCGGAGCGGTAATAATGCGAAGTAACAGACAGGCAGATATGGATAGGCGGATCGAGGATCCGCCATGAAATTCGGCGCACAAGCGTCTTGGCTCTAGAGGAGTCGCTGATATGCCGGAACTGATAGCATCGCTCTAGAAGCGTAATTGTACGAAAAATGTTATCGGTAAGTTTACGTTCTCTGAAGATAAAGCGTCTTGGCGTCCAGCGTCTGGCGACTGGAGATTGTATTAAAACAATATAGTGGGCGTATCCGCGAAGATATGAGCCAAAAATAAAGATAGATGAAATGAAGATAACGAATCTTTATATTATAATGGAGATAAGATAACGACGGATGATGAAGAAAGTCGCATGAAATCAGAATCAAAGTAATTTAATAACGCATTTTTACAGACAAGACAATCGAACAGAGTTCATTGATAATGGAATGGCACGGGTGTGTCAAATACTTTGTCCTTTGTTTATTTCAAGGAATACATATGTGGCTCGTGTTTGGGCATTCGCATACGTTTGAAACATATATTGATAAATATTTGCTCGGATCTTATCGTGTCCGAACGAAGCCGCTTGTTGATTTGGCATGAGATCGTGTTTTGCCGCTTGGTGGGAAGCAGCGAATTATAACGAAGACGCTTCGGCGAACACGCGAAAGTATTCCGTGCCAATAGCACCGCGCGGGAGAGAATATTCCGAAAGTTATAATATTGACGTTAAGTCGCAAAAGTTCGCACTTTGTATGCAACTGCAGCGAACTGCTCCGAATGATTCATGACCATTGTTTTCTTCCACGGTGGAGCTGTCTGCCGACTTTTATGCCGAATACGCGTACTATCGGCGTTGTTAGAACTTGCAAACGGTACGGTAATGTAAGTGCGCTTAAAATAGGTCAGATAAGATAATAATTAAAACCGCCTTTCGCCATTACTGCGTGAGTAAAAAACTCGGCTGCACCATGCATCTCACGGTACTGTAATCGGTAGTATTAAATTTAAAATTTAAATAATGAAAGATGATCGGAGATAATACGGAAAATACTTTAAACAATTTATAAGAATTTGTCGCTCGACACGAGTGAAATACGAAAACGAAATGACACGAGAAAAAGCTGGATACGCGAAATCAGATTGAACTGGCGGGAAATTGTTATTGTTTATCGCATATCCTCTTCGTGAAGTTTCTGCGAAATAAATTTTCGCAGAAAAATCTTAAATTGCTTCCTTGAAAGAGGTATTGCGAAGACATCGGTATTTATGACGGAGATCGAAGTATTAACAATTTAGCAAACTTTCAACTTCTTCTCGTTGACGTCGAAGTAAATTTGATTGTATCAGGCGATACGAAGGCAATCTCAAAAGTGAACTTAAGTCGAGTGCTAGCGTGATAATTTTCGAATCGCGATAATTACAATCTCTCCGGGCTGGCTTACACGAGGCAATTTTTCATGTCAGCGTAATTAGTGATCATGAACAGTGCAGCAAATTATCGTTCAGGATATTTATGAACAATTTGTTTGAGTTGGAGATTAAATCAATTGCTGTAGAAGCGAGGAATTGCTCTCGGGTGCCATCTAGTGTTTGCTCCCGTAGAATGTTTCGTATGTTATACATTGCTGGTTACTTCAATTCCTGCAAGCTTTCTGAATAACTCGAGGAACTGAATTTAACGGATGATCCAGCAGCGTTGTGACGTTGTATTTTCCTCGAGAGATATTTTTCAAGTTGTATCAATTACCAAACTACATCCGCACATGACTCGCCGCTGTGGACACTAACGATTTGAGGCAGTGTCTTGAACGATGATTGCACAATGTAACAAGCAACGCGGTTACATGTTAATTAACGAGACATGGTGCGAAATATGTCGCGCTTTCGTATATTCGAAGACGCAAACAAAGCCGTTCCTTATCGACGAAAGAGACATTCCAAGGTTTCTTCTTCGACAATTATTAAAATTGTTAAAACGGAATGTGCACAAGAATATGCTGTCATCAGCGACACGTTTTCGATATTCGACGTTCGCGGTCGAACATTTGAGAACTACAAATATTATCCAAAGTTGACAATACGACGGACAAGAGTCGCGCGTTCATTCGTCGATACGATAGGGAACTGTAAGCCGCTGTGCGAATGCGCTATCCTCCACGAATCGTAATCCGAGAGAATCGTTAAACGCAATTTCCTTCGTATCGTTAGCTGATAAAACAGAGAAGCGGGAAATTCGACTTGATGATCTTGCGAATGCTGCTGCTGCTGCTCAGGTGGAACCTACGGGGAAAAATCGAAAGTTCTTTCGATCAGTATTCGTAATCTGTCCGCAGTCTGTCTAATCGTGAAAGAGTGCGATGTCGCACAGCCGGAGATAAGAGGAACTGGAACATGAAAAATGTTTCCTTATCGCTCGCAAAGTGCTTTCTTCGAAACATCGAGTTGACCGTAGTTAATAACCGTTTAACTCTAGTTCCTGTTAGCTTTGCATCACGTCGCTGAGTAAGGAGAAAAAAGTTTTATCTAGTTTAAACACGCTATCGCGTATCAACAACTGTTATCAGATAAGAGAGTTTTTATGTTTGTTCACGCACCTAGTCGGCGGTGATCTTGTTAGGAGTAACGAGACACGAAAAACTCGTGCTCGCTTGATTCGGGTTAATATTTTTCGCGTGAGATAGTTATTTGACTTTTACGCAGTTGCGCCTCCGAGCATGAGAAACTGCGCGACGAATATATAATCGCGTCCTTATTCGTCTGTGAGCGTGATGCTTTTATTTTATAACAGGAATTGCCATTTTACGAAAAATAGCGCGCGTCCCTGTGACATCATATTTCCAGTCAACTTTACGCGTTTGTCTCTCTAGCACGACCCTTTTATCTTACCGATATTTGAATCTTGGGACTGATAAATCGGAGCTGCGCCCCGTATCATTTTAGTGGGACAATGTGCGAATTTAATGAAGAGATTAATAGTGCGAGGTAAATATTTCAAATATACTTTCGAGCGATGATACGTTATGAATCCCTCGTGGCTCGATATTTACCTCTTTGCGCGTGTTTAAAATATAAAATGGAGAATTCCAGAAATAAAGGATTTACGAATTTCACAGAAGTCTCCCTTCGACGCACACACGACGGGGATAGCATCACGTATATTTTCCGCCAAACCACGCGCGGCACGCACGAAGGCACACACCAATGCGTAAATTTCTTTCTACGTAAGGGCTCTACGCATGATATGTCATTAACTTTTTCCCTCTCCTGCCCTCCCGTAAAGTATCGGCCGCCCGATATAATGTCTCTGCGCTCCCGTGTTCCGTTGAATTGCGGAACGGCAAATATTTAATGACCTCTTTTCTCCTCCTCGCGAAAAAAAAAAACACGACAGGGGTAATCGCGCGTGCGTAGCGTTTACGCGGAGGAGACACGAGGGAAATGAAAAGAGTCGTCGCGCCCGGCAGGAAACAAAGTGCGACAGCGAGAATATCGCGGTGACGCTGGAATGGCGATCGATCGCGGCAATTTATTTATGATTCCGAGAAAATCGTCCTCGCGATACCTGTCCCTCGCGGCCGCGGAACAGCCCCAGGGGTTTAAGGTCTCGACCTCGGCTCTCGGTGCCTCGGTATCGAAGATCACCTCGGTCTTGTCTCTCTAAGAAACGCTGTGTAGGATATACTAAATCAACGGTGCATACTTTAACATCTCCTATAGTTTGCATATAGTTTGAACTTAATTTCGCCTGGAACGAATGAAACGTATAGAGTATCGCTGTGCGAAGCAGTTTCGAAAACTAATCACACGGGTAAGCGACGAAAATATTTATCATAAAACGAATTGTCGCTAAATATGCCAAAATTTGTGAAAGCGCCGTGTTCACTTTTTTTACTGCACTGATAGAAAAATATAGTTGAATTGAACTATAATCTCACTATATGTTATAGTTTATTTTGGCGTCAATCATATTTATATAGGTTCGTGGAACCTGTAAAATATAGTAGAATAAACACATATATATATGTGTCAATGATTGTCTTAAATAATTGTTTAGTTACTTTTACCACATATATGGTAATTTCTCATTCACAAATATAATGAGATTTAATATTCATATACGAGCACTGCAGTCTGAAAAGTTCTCGGCTTGACACATAGATGGCATTAGAAACTGTCAAACTATAATTGTAGTGGAAAGTAGCATCCCTGATATAAACCCATGTAAAATTTTATTTCGATCTGTCAAGTCATTCGAGTAGTAGCACCAGTTTAATATTAAAGTGTCATTGTCTTTTTTAAAATGGAAAAAATTGGATATCGTGCAGTGATTAAATTCTTTGTTTTGGATGGTTTAACACCAACAGAAATTCATCCGAAATTGTGAAAAAAGTGTATAAGGATGCATCACCTTCACTTTACACTGTGAAAAAATGGGCTGCTCTTTTTAAATCTGGTCGTACAAGCCTCGAAAATGATCCACGCGAAGGTTGTCCAAAAATTGCTACAACACCACCAAACATTCAACAAGTCCATGATATGGCGTTAGGTGATGGGCGAGTGAAAATGCGTGAAATAGCTGAGGCCATAGGCATCTCAAAAGAACGAATTGGAAATATTTTGCATGAAGAATTATATATGAAAAAGCTTTGTGCAAGATGGGTGCCGCATTTGCTAACAATTGACCAAAAACGCATTCGAATGCGTATTTCTCAAGCCTGTTTGGATCGTTTTAAGCAAAATAAAATGGATTTCAAGCGTCGTTTCATAACTATTGATGAAACTTGGATCCACCACTATACATCAACAATGGATTGAAGCCGGTGGACGTGCACCAAGGAAAGCAAAGACGGTTCCATCAGCAGGAGAGGTTATGGCAACAGCTTTTTGGGATTACAAAGGTGTTTTGTTGATCGATTA